CCCTATTTCATCCATAGGGAAGGCCAGAACACAAGCATTTATCTTCCAGCATTCGGGCCTTCGTTATTCGAATCAAAAAAAATCCGTCGAAGACCTAGAATAACCTAATGAATATAATCAATGTTTCTGCTTAGCGCGATGGTTGGCTGGTAGAGAATGTCATCTGTCATTTGTTCTAAAATAATAAATGGTTAATAAAGAAATTAATAACTGCCATAGCTCAACGTATCGCAAAGCTGAAGTGGCAATTGGCGGGGCACACAGTTCGGCGAACCAATGAACGTGGGGGTCTCAAGATGCCTCAATGAAGATCACGCACTAGGAAGCGCAGTGTCGGTATACCCCTCACCAGGTAAACTGACGACATCAAGCGAGTCTGAGGTCCCTCAGACTCGCTTGACTCACTGGATGCGGAAAGCGCTGGACCGTTATGTATGGAAATCCCTTGAGGAGGCTTATGTCCAGCAGTGGACTTCCATCGGTCGATGATGCTGATGCTGATGATGACGATTAGGATAGAAGCTTATAATGATGATATCGAATTAGCTTCTCATCGGTATTACCGGTGATCATCAAAATCTGATTTTATCCAATATTTACCACAAAATACATACGAGATAGAAAGCTAATCCGGCTTCTGGGGTCCCTCAGACTCGCTTTATTCACTGGATGCGGAAAGCGCAGGACCGTTATGTATGGAAATCCCTTGAGGAGGCTTATGTCCAGCAGTAGACATCCATCGGCCGATGATGCTGATGATGATGATTAGGATATAAGCTTATGATGATGATATCGAATTAGCTTCCCATCGGTATTACCGGCGATCATCAAAATCTGATTTTATCCAGTATTTACCACAAAATACATACGAGATAGAAAGCTAATCCGGCTTCTGAGGTCCCTCAGACTCGCTTGACTCAATGGATGCGGAAAGCGCAAGACCGTTATGTATGGGAATCCCTTGAGAATACTTATGTCCAGCAGTAGACATCCTTCTCATCCTTCTACATACGAGATAGAAAGCTAATCCGGCTGCTGAGGTCCCTCAGACTCGCTTGACTCACTGGATGCGGAAAGCGCAGGACCGTTATATATGGAAATCCCTTGAGGATGCTTATGTCCAGCAGTAGACATCCTTCTACATACGAGATAGAAAGCTAATCCGGCTGCTGAGGTCCCTCAGACTCGCTTGACTCACTGGATGCGGAAAGCGCAGGACCGTTATGCATGGAAATCCCTTGGGGAGGCTTATGTCCAGCAGTGGACATCCATCGGCCGATGATGCTGATGATGATGATTAGGATATAAGCTAATGATGATGATATCGAATTAGTTTCCCATCGGTATTACCGATGATCATCAAAATCTGATTTTATCCAATATTTATCACAAAATACATACGAGATATAAAGCTAATCCGACTTCTGAGGTCCCTCAGACTCGCTTGACTCACTGGATGCGGAAAGCGCAGGACCGTTATGTATGGAAATCCCCTAAGGAGGCTTATGTCTAGCAGTGGACATCCATCAGCTGATGATGCTGATGATGATAATACGGATATAAGCTTATGATGATGATATCGGATTAGTTTCCCATGGGTATTACCGGTGATCATCAAAATCTGATTTTATCCAATATTTATCACAAAATACATACGAGATATAAAGCTAATCCGGCTTCTGAGGTCCCTCAGACTCGCTTGACTCAATGGATGCGGAAAGCGCAGGACCGTTATGTACGGAAATCCCTTGAGGAGGCTTATGTCCAGCAGTAGACATCTATCTACATACGAGATAGAAAGCTAATCCGGCTCCTGAGGTCCCTCAGACTTGCTTTACTCACTGGATGCGGAAAGCGCAGGACCGTTATGTATGGAAATCCCTTGAGGAGGCTTATGTCCAGCAGTAGACATCCATCGGCCGATGATGCTGATGATGATGAGCGGGGCACACAGTTCGGCGAACCAATGAACGTGGGGGTCTCAAGATGCCTCAATGAAGATCACGCACTAGGAAGCGCAGTGTCGGTATACCCCTCACCAGGTAAACTGACGACATCAAGCGAGTCTGAGGTCCCTCAGACTCGCTTGACTCACTGGATGCGGAAAGCGCTGGACCGTTATGTATGGAAATCCCTTGAGGAGGCTTATGTCCAGCAGTGGACTTCCATCGGTCGATGATGCTGATGCTGATGATGACGATTAGGATAGAAGCTTATAATGATGATATCGAATTAGCTTCTCATCGGTATTACCGGTGATCATCAAAATCTGATTTTATCCAATATTTACCACAAAATACATACGAGATAGAAAGCTAATCCGGCTTCTGGGGTCCCTCAGACTCGCTTTATTCACTGGATGCGGAAAGCGCAGGACCGTTATGTATGGAAATCCCTTGAGGAGGCTTATGTCCAGCAGTAGACATCCATCGGCCGATGATGCTGATGATGATGATTAGGATATAAGCTTATGATGATGATATCGAATTAGCTTCCCATCGGTATTACCGGCGATCATCAAAATCTGATTTTATCCAGTATTTACCACAAAATACATACGAGATAGAAAGCTAATCCGGCTTCTGAGGTCCCTCAGACTCGCTTGACTCAATGGATGCGGAAAGCGCAAGACCGTTATGTATGGGAATCCCTTGAGAATACTTATGTCCAGCAGTAGACATCCTTCTCATCCTTCTACATACGAGATAGAAAGCTAATCCGGCTGCTGAGGTCCCTCAGACTCGCTTGACTCACTGGATGCGGAAAGCGCAGGACCGTTATATATGGAAATCCCTTGAGGATGCTTATGTCCAGCAGTAGACATCCTTCTACATACGAGATAGAAAGCTAATCCGGCTGCTGAGGTCCCTCAGACTCGCTTGACTCACTGGATGCGGAAAGCGCAGGACCGTTATGCATGGAAATCCCTTGGGGAGGCTTATGTCCAGCAGTGGACATCCATCGGCCGATGATGCTGATGATGATGATTAGGATATAAGCTAATGATGATGATATCGAATTAGTTTCCCATCGGTATTACCGATGATCATCAAAATCTGATTTTATCCAATATTTATCACAAAATACATACGAGATATAAAGCTAATCCGACTTCTGAGGTCCCTCAGACTCGCTTGACTCACTGGATGCGGAAAGCGCAGGACCGTTATGTATGGAAATCCCCTAAGGAGGCTTATGTCTAGCAGTGGACATCCATCAGCTGATGATGCTGATGATGATAATACGGATATAAGCTTATGATGATGATATCGGATTAGTTTCCCATGGGTATTACCGGTGATCATCAAAATCTGATTTTATCCAATATTTATCACAAAATACATACGAGATATAAAGCTAATCCGGCTTCTGAGGTCCCTCAGACTCGCTTGACTCAATGGATGCGGAAAGCGCAGGACCGTTATGTACGGAAATCCCTTGAGGAGGCTTATGTCCAGCAGTAGACATCTATCTACATACGAGATAGAAAGCTAATCCGGCTCCTGAGGTCCCTCAGACTTGCTTTACTCACTGGATGCGGAAAGCGCAGGACCGTTATGTATGGAAATCCCTTGAGGAGGCTTATGTCCAGCAGTAGACATCCATCGGCCGATGATGCTGATGATGATGAGCAGGATATCAGCTTATGATGATGATACCGAATTAGTTTCCCATCGGTATTACCGGTGATCATCAAAATCTGATTTTATCCAATATTTATCACAAAATACATACGAGATATAAAGCTAATCCGGCTTCCGATTGCGTCTTTTCATTCGATTCCCCGCGCTACGCTGCAGATCTTATTAGATGCAGATTGAATCTGTGATCCGATGAAATAGTGCTAGTAGACGTAAACAGGTGCCGTTTCCCCGTATACAAATCGTTTTTAAAGATAAACTTTTATTACATCGCTTTAATATTTTTCGTGCATCTCTAGCAGTGGGATTACATTTTTGTATGTTATTAAAAAAAACAGACTTTATCATCCAGTGAGGAGCTCGATGGCCCGAATGGTTAACGCGTTCAGCAGCGATAGTTGAGACTAAGCATCTTTCACAGTGGTCGATCATTGGATGGGTGACCAAAAATTAACTATCTCGAGCTCCTCCGTTCGGAAGGTACGTTAAGCCGTTGCTCCCGGCTGCATCTGCAGTCGTCAATACCCAACAATCCGCAATGGGCCCGTGTGGTGGGTCATTGCCGAATCTCCCTATTCCATCCATTACGAAAGCCTGTGCCCCAGCAGTGGGGACATTAATAGGCTGATGATGGTGATGATTTGTGTTTCAGTGGTAAAAATCTGCTACGCGAGCGAGGAAGAGCCTATTTTTTTAAATGTTTTTAAAAGTTTTAATTGCATAGTCGTTTCAAACACGGAACACAAAAAGAGGTTAGAGGGGCCTTATGACCAAAACTTGGTCAAGTTATGAGTTCGGACATTAAAAAACATACATTACATATATCCACAGCTGGACCGAAAAGGATCCAGTTCAGCATGAGTCAGTTTGCACTGCTGGCCTGTTCTATTTTTTTTAATATGTTATTTTCAGCGAAATTATTTAAAAAATGATACTAGTTTTAATTTTAACATGAGCCATTTGAACTGCTTATAGGGTATTCTCTTTACCCAGTCACATAAAAGTACTTTAAAAATAAAATCTTCTATTGTTACCTATACTTACTCAACACAGAAAAAGATAATGTACGTTAAAATCAAGGTATCATATTAAACATTTGAACAAGTAGTTCCGCTTCTATTATTTTTTAAAACTTCAAAACGCGATATCTTAAAACACTGTTTTTGAAGATAATACCCTTTTGTTTGTGACGGGCGATGTATAAACATTATTTATCATACTAACTATTGCTCCCACCGAGATTCAAAACCGGGGCCTCTGAGTGGGTGTCGCCCTTAAACCCGGCGTATATACCACTCGACCACGGAGGTCCTCGGATGTCGAGGCACGTTTTATACATAACATAAAAAGATCAAACATACATTATGTAACATTTATTAGACTTCCCGACTCAAGAATACACAACCGCTACATGAACACAAAACTTTTTAAAACTTTGTGAAACTGTTTACACACAACAATATTATACCACTCATTCGAACATGCCTATCATTTGTAACATCTTGATGAATATGTCTATAATTGATGTATACAACATATAAGCGCCGAGAGCGTAGTCATCTTCACCCAACTCTACGCTTCTACCGCCCAGGATAGCCTGCAAGTCTATAGTTAGTATCTGGAAATGAAACGCAGTAGAACATTATCATAAACCTTCAAAGATTATTACTATAATTTGACTAAAGTTAGATTTGGTTACTCAAAAAGTTAATAAAATGGACTGAGCGTCTGTCCAACTTTGAAGCAAAGCCTTCACATTTATCTGACGTGTTAAGCCTCGATGACACGGGGCGAGTTTACAAGCTACAAGGCAGCGAGTTCGCTATCCAGCTTGTAAACTCGCCCTGTGTCTTTGGCTTTTTTACCATCTGCAACTCGATGATACGAGGCGAGTTTACAAGCTACAAGGCAGCGAGTTCGCTAGGCAGCTCGTAAACTCGCCTTGTGTCATTGGCTTTTTTACCATCTGCAACTCTATGATACGGGGCGAGTTTACAAGCTACAAGCCAGCGAGTTCACTATCCAGCTTGTAAATTCGCCCTGTGTCATTGGCTTTTTTACCATCTGCTACACGATGATAGGGGGCGAGTTTACCAGCTACAAGCCAGCGAGTTCGCTAGGCAGCTTGTAAACTCGCCCTGTGTAATTGGCTTTTTTACCATCTGCTACTCGATGATACGGGGCGAGTTTACAAGCTACAAGCCAGCGAGTTCGCTAGGCAGCTCGTAAACTCGCCCTGTGTCATTGGCTTTTTTACCATCTGCTACTCGATGATACGGGGCAAGTTTACAAGCTACTAGCGAACTCGCTGGCTTGTAGCTTGTAAACTCCCTGCCATCGAGGCTTGAATATTGTGGCGCATTAGAACGGTGTCTTTGACGCGAAATTACATTTTAATAGGGATGATGACTATTTTTTTTTCTTCGTTTATCAGGTAGATTATCAAAAAGTATTGGACACGTATTTTTTCTTTTTTCACATAATATAAACATTGCAGAGATATATTGATTTGAAAAGTCGCATGACGTCACGTTTGAGTACACTTTTAAGTGAAAATTCACTAAAAAGTGACGTCACGAGCCCCTACTCCCAAACTTTGACGCGCTATAACTTTATCATTCTTTGGTTGATTGCCCAAAGAATAAATACGTGTCCATTATTTTTTGATCATCTAACTGACGGACTAAACAGAATTTCGTTTACTGTACCCCGTCATCACCCCTTGAAAATGGGTGGCTGCAAATCAAGATTTAGGTATAGGTACTTGATATAGAGCAATGTGGATGTGCCCCGGAAGGGAAGGGAGTAGTGGAATACTTATGTTCATCCATTCACAAGCCATATTTTGTTAGTCCTTATAAAAGAAAATTTACTTAATCATCATCAGCCTATTAATGTCCTCACTGCTGGGACACAGATTAAAGATGGAATAGGGAGATTGGGCCATAACTTGCCACGCGGGCCCACTGCAGATTGGCGGGTGCTAATGACTGCAAATGTAGCCGGGACCTACGGCTTAACGTGCCTTTCGAAGCACGGAGGAAATCGAGATAGAAGATTTTTTGTCATCCGTCCAATGACCGACCACTGCGAAAGTTGCTTAACTTTAACGATCACAGCCGAACGCGCAAACCACCCGTGCCAACGAGCTCCTCAACCTTAAAATGTACTTAACCTCCACTATTTAGAAACAAACGTACTTACCACTTCTCCAACAAGCCACCAATCACAATAAGTACGTTTGTTGAAGAGACGATTTCTACCAGGGTCTAGACATGGTTTTAAACCGTGTCTACATCTGGTCGGCAGTTATACGACATTATGGAGATTCAGGTCATTAAGAATGACATTGGCGCTAGCGACGGTTGGGAATCGGTAGAAACGTACAAACCGTACTCGTTTTTTTATTTAGTTTGTATGCTGTTGTTCGAGGATTACCTTTACAGCCGGGTTGGGGACGGCGAGATCGTAAGGGGACTACAAGCCGAGAATTGGTGAGTGCTCCTAGAGGTATTCCAGGCGGATGGCATCTCGAGGATAGTCTCCTCTCCGTCTGGAGCCTCTAGACCACTAGAATCTGACGGGTTCGGCTCAAATAGAGGGCATTTCTGTGACTCAGACCTCGGCTCTAGTTATCCGTTGTCGTGAGGGGCGGGGGAAAACGCCCAGGTTCGTACCTGAACCTGGTATAGCGTGTCGTGGGTAGACCGGGTCCTCGCACTCTTATCCTACGGGTGCGGATCTGCCTAATGCTTAGCTAGTGTGCAAGTATGCTAGGTGTGTAGTGTTGGTGCTTGTGGCCTGTGTGGGAGGAATCGGAGGCGCGTTGGCGCGGGTGATTTTATCGTCAGGGTACTTTAGGATATGCCTAAGCCGACGGATTCTGAGGGACTCGAACCTGATGGAGTCGACTCAACTAGATGGCATCTCTGAGACTCGGATCTCGGCTCTAGATGGCCATTGTCGTGGGACCGTTCTCATGCACAAGCTTATCCGGCACCTGCCCTGGTAGAAACCGATAACAAGCGCCCTCAGTAATATAAGATACGTATAACATTTCCATCTCAAACAAAGAATCCTTTTTATACTCACAACGACTTGTAACAGTGTACCAATTATTAATATGACCAGATGCAAAGGCTTTATATAGGTGCCTGTGATCAGCATGCCCAGCATTACTACCATAGCGATGGCGCCGAACGCAGCAGCTATCACCACCACGTACAGTAAGTACCTCGTAAAGTCAAACTGCAAAATAAAAAAATATATGTCAATATTACATAATATTTTACATAGGGAGCGAGTAAAAGGGCTGATGAATTAAGTTTATTAGACCATAGTGTAATAACATACCCCCAATAAATTTTTTTTTTTAATATGTAGCCAGGTAGGAAAATGACTCTACCCCACCTGATGTTAAGGGGTGATAAAGTCCAAACGCGAAGGTAGCTAGTAGTCAGTGCATCCACCCGGATAGCGGAGGGTGCAGGTTCGAGTCCCGTCTGCTGCCTGGTCCGAACGATAAGTCTAGTTAAGCAGAGGTGATTGCTAGTCTTTAGCTAGGTTATAGAGCTGGTGAACTTTTTGTCATTAAAGAGATATAGGTACTTACTGATGAGCAAGCTAAGCACATACACACGACGACTACAACTGTGGTTGCCAGTACAGCGTACAGCACTGTGGTGGTCTTATATCTTGTGGTGAAGAAAGCAGTTATTACACTCATACATAGCACCTGTAGGCAGAAAAAAAAACGAGTGTGCTTATTATATGACCACACGACTGAAGTGAAACTTCTTTAGCTCCTTCTGTACGTTCAATATATATATATATAAATATAATATGCATGTACATATACATATTTCATTTACTAGCTATAAGAGAAAGAGAGATAGAAGATGTGCGCGCGCACTGCTTTCTCTTGCTTATATCCCCCACTCAACTCCCGTTCGCCTCGCCTGATTACATTGTTCGTAACGCGTTCGCCAGCTTACTCCCCAAGTCAAGCGTACGTAAAGAAGTTTCACTTTAAAAAATATTACACGGTGGCTTTTCTTTTTAATGCTTCCTATGTTGTATTTTATGGGGGTCCAACATAACATATGTTATGAGAAAATTATAGCAAAGGGCTACCATCCCAAAAATCTTCGTTAACGGGAGGTGGTGCCAGCGTTGTATATCTGTAGCATGTGTAATAGTCCCTTCGTGGTAATGGTGCCTTTAGGCTGCGGTAACTGCTCACCATCAAGCTATGCCTCCTTACCCTAGTTGGAGAAAAAAGTCCTCATAGTAGTCCTGATGAGGATGAATTATTCAAAAGAAAAGCAGCAAATACTCTCACCGTTATTATTAAACATATAAAGTTGCAAGGAGGTACTCTGGTGCACGACGAACAAGCCATCGCGTAACTCATTCCGACCATTATTATTCTGCAAATGGTTCACCAATCAATAAATGAGTAGGTTCTTGGACAAACTACCATTAATTATATTAAATTTCATTCGTGTTTGAAATATTTATCCCCAAAGAGTTGCAAATTTAGTTAGGTAACAACTTGTTAAACAAAAATTATGGGTAATTTAAAAAATTCACGATACTCACAGTGCGGGTATTACTATAATAAACCCAAGCTGTCGAAAAGCGTTACTGGCATCAGGTCTAGTTTTGGAAACAGGAAACAATAAAGAAGATAAGAATATTATAAAAAAACTTTTTTAAAAACAAGCTTTTATTCAAATGCGCTAAAAAGAAAAAAAGAAAATTTCAACTAAATTAGTTAAAGATATATCTATATATCTGTTTCTAAATAGATTTTCAAATTTTAGAAGTCCGCCATATTGGATTGAGAGTGACGTCACATTTTTTTCGAGTTACTCTCAGCAAGCCCTTTAATTTGATACCCATATTGTAGGAATGCATTAAAAATGATTGGTCCGCCATTTTGGGTATGCCGCCATATTGGATTTAGAATGACGTCACACTGTTAATCATGCATTGTCATCCGAACTGAACGAGCATATCAAATTTCAGCTGAATCGGTTGAGAGCAAGTGCTTTAAAATTGAGTTGTAAGATTTGACAGTAACAAACATACATAGCAAGTTAAATAAAAGCTTGTAAAAATTAGTCAAGTATTTTAATGAATAACCATGTGTCCAACACACGAAATAAAATGGGGCTTGAGCTAGAAACCTAGAGAGTAAAGCAGATTTTTAAAATAGAAGAAACAGTGCTGTAGTCTTAACGCTTCTGTTGTTATTTTTGGTAAGGTATTAAGTCCAATTTTGTGGGAAAGTCAACGATAGGTAACCCATATCTAATTTTATGTGCACACAAAGATAATTTTGATCATTACTTACAGTAACAAAATGCCGATGTTAAACCCAGCTGTACACAACAGCATCATAAAAACTAAAGTAAACACTAAAAGGACAAATCTGTTCCTCGATTCGGGAGTGTAATCCAATGGAGCACCGAGAGGTTCTGGATGTGGACCTGCAATGAAACAGATCTGATCAAGAAAGAGGAGTATAGTCAGTTTTATTTATATATCAATAGTTTTTAGAAAAATATTCTGACACTATTAAGGCTGACAGGAATCATATCTGTGAAAAAATTTTATTATATACATAGCACAGCCGATTATTATCCAGCTCCGACTGAGGGATGGCAAGACAGAAGTCCGAACAAGTTATGCGGCAACAAAATAAGTCATGCCATATCCCCTAACATGTAGAATTCTTTACTAAGTTTCTCGACAGGGAGACAACACCATCAATAAATTATATTTTGATAATACAATGTAATTAAATGCTTATTTTATACACATACTTACTTTGTTGAAAATTAATTATCTTAAAAAAACATTAAAAAATATTAGAACTTACCCACATATTGAACCCAGAAATCTCGTCTGTAAACATTTCTCCCTTGTGAATTATAAATGTATGGTGCCAAGAATTCGTTTTCTGTGCTTACGACTGTCTTTTTTCCTTTTAAAGACCTATTATCTTCTAGATTTATATTAACATTATGTCCAACTGTGTTATCAATAATTTCCTTTTGTACTTCATCACTTTTGGTGATTTCCATGTTAAGGGAGATTGTGTCTTGACTAGCCGCTCCATTATCATCATGAAATTCATTTGATGTATTATTCAAGGTGATATTACTCATTAGTTAAAAACCTATATGTATTTCAAATACATCGATGTCTTCTTCATAAAAAGTAATTATTATAAATTGATTTGTTATAAAAATATATAAAATATTATCCAAAATACATTACATAGCATAGGCAATGGCTATGCTGTCAAATGCACTTATCATACTGTGACACTTTCAAAACATGAAAAAAGCAAAGAAGATTTGAGTTTCACCTTCAAAAAGATTTTATTACAAGCACAATAGGTTATGATGATATAGCAAAAATGGGAGTTTGTGACATCTGAATTGCTTCCATTATAAGTAATTGTTGAGGTTATTGCCTTTGATAAAATTTCATAGACTAATCTTCACACTGGTCTTATTGTGATTAATTGAGTGATTGTGTGAATTAACCTAAATTTCGCCCATGTTGTCACCACATTCCATTTTTATTTTACAGACCTTTATACGGACAAAAATTTGTTATTAATAAAACCGATTTGATTGTACTGGAGCGGATCCAGCTTTGGCGCCAGGGGGGTAATATTACAAAGTATTATATTAAATGGATTAAATATTGAAAGGGACGCAAGGGGGCCTATACAGGGACGCAAGGCGGCCTACACAACATCTTTCGGGTCCCAAGCCAACTTCCCCTGCAAGCGGTGCGTCCTGCTGTATAACAGACGAGGCCCTGGCGAAACCACCCACCATCCCGCACTGGACCAGCGTGGTGGGTTATGGTCCAATCTCTCTTAAATGGAAAACGCAACATTGTCCCGGCCCCCAGTTCCCGGTAGCCCTGCTATTCCAGGCCAAGGCGGCGGTCAGGGTTACGGCAGGGCAGGGTGTGCTAAGAATCTCCGGGCTACGGTAGGCCGCCAAAAAACACTTAACTTGGCGACATATAACGGTCGCACGCTACGGCTCGACTCACATCTAGCTCAACTGGAGGAGGAGCTGAGACACATAAGATGGCACGTGCTTGGGCTGAGCGAAGTCCGCAGAGAGGGCGAGGACACGCTGACTTTAGAGTCTGGCTATCTGATGTACTTCAGAGAGGGAGATAATCCGTCACAGGGCGGCGTCGGGTTCCTGGTCAACAAGTCCTATTTAACTAAACCCCAAACGCTAGGGTAGACGATGAAAAAATAAAATCATCTCCAGAATATGTAGGGAGCTACCCTAAAGATTTTTTTCAGTATTTATTCTATCATTACGTCGGCGTGATTGATATACATAACTCCAAAAAAATACAGCTCTCTAGTGCTAACAGTCTCCAAGCAAAACCGGGGACCGATATGCAGACGGACAATACGATACTATAAGGTTTCCTTGTCAGGACTACGGAACCCTAATAAAAAGGTAAACAACTTTACTCAATTTGAATAATTCCGGTAATCGGAGAATCCTATTCTGGAGACGCCAGAATTCCATAAATTTATTATCTTGAGCTCCACTTCTACTTTATTTCGTACAATAGGGCCCACTTTCACCAAAGTTCTTAAATCAAAATTAATCATGTTTAAATCTCATTATATTTCTGTTTGGCTTTCAACAATTGTCAAAATTAAATCTTAATTTTAATACCGTTTAACACACATCATTCTATATTTGTTTCTTAGGTTTTCACGCACAACACTCATTAAATAAAACTAGTTTTAACGGGTTAATGCACAAACTTTATTTATTTATTGACGTTTCGCAGTATTTTCAGGTCTCATTATTCTGACGATGCAGATCTGAAGAGGCTGCGAAACGTCAATAAATAAATAAAGTTCGTGCATTAACCTGTAAAAATTAGTTTTATTTAACATCATTAATATATCTTCTTTAGTTGTTTAAAGATAAAAAGAGAAAAAGAGAAGCTTAAACATGATTAACTATTAAATTAGATTTAAATTTTTTGGCGCTAGTGGGACTAAGACTGACGTTCATACTTTAGACTTCAGTGAAGGAAATTTTGATAATATTTTCTTTCTTAAGTTTTTGTCGTATTGCTTTAAGGAAGACGGTTTTTATTTTTCTCTTTTTTTAGCTAAAGCAATGGTTCTTAAGTCCCTGCATTTTAAATTCTGTAATATCTTCGAAAATATTAATTTAAATTACATGCTTTAAAGGGCCAAATGTTTAAGGTATTAATTGGTTAAGGATGAATGTTATATTGCTGAAAATCACTTCGTAAATAAGCTATTATTTCTCATAAAAAGTATAGAATAAAAAATGGGATAGACATATACCATGGTGGACTTTTTTGTAGACCTTTCTAAGGTGTGCAATACTGTAGTACATTATTTTGATGTATCTCGTAGGGTTTAGCCAGCGTTTGCGATTTTTATTCACGACCTTACATTAAAAACCTTTAAAATTATCAGGGTTTCTCTACTATATTATGCATGTATTATACATATAAAACTTCCTCTTGAATCACTCTAACTATTAAAAAAAACCGCTTCAAAATTCGTTGTGTAGTTTTAAAGATCTAAGCTTACATAGGGACAGACAGCGGGAAGCGACTTTGCTTTATACTATGTAGTGATAAGGAAGAATGCTCATTGATTAACCAATCCTGGAGGGAGGGGGGTGTGCAATCGTTAGTGGTGATCCGTGGCAAGACGGAAGTTGTGACTAATGGTCCCTCGGTATTGCCATTTGCTCGTTAGCACGTATTCGGGTAAACGAAAGACATTACTCGAAATCGAGCACCCGAAGCAATATTTACACTCTAATAAGGGCTGGAAGACGTTGTCGGGTAAACAAAAGGATACCTACCCGAATACGGGCGTACTCGACTCGGTTCATTTACACTTAGTCGTTTACCCGAATTCCATTCGCACTCGTATTCGGGCTAACGACAGAGTGTAAATAATAAATAAGGGGTGATGACGGGGTACAGTAAACGAAATTCGATTTAATCCGTCAGTTAGATGATCAAAAAATAATGGACACGTATTTTTTCTTTGGGCAATTAACCAAAAAATTACAAAGTTATAGCGTACGTCATGCGACTTTTCAAATCAATATATCTCTGCAATGTTTATATTCTGTAAAAAAAAGAAAAAATACGTGTCCAATACTTTTTGATAAACTACCTGATAAACGAAGAAAAAAAATAGTCATCATCCCTAATAGGGATGATAGCCTAGCCACAAAGTAAGCATCGAAAGGCTTGTGTTATGGGGTACTAGAGTAACGGATAGAATACATATACTGTAGGTACATATACAAGTATATTTATATAGAAATACATATTAAACATCCATGACTGGAGTACAAATGCTCGTATTCATCACACGAACATCTGCCCCCACGGGGATTCGAACCCGGGACCTCTCGAGTCGGCGACACCATGAAACCCGGCGTACAAACCACTCGGGCACGGAGGTCGTCAAAATATTTTCGTCGTGTCGTCGTGTAATCGCGCCATAATGGTTGAGAGCCACTGAACTAGAGCAACTTATTAAATACTAGTGATGTTCCGGATATCCGTATCCGTATTCGTATCCGCGGATATCCGAGGCAGAAGAAAGATCCGTATCCGTGTCCGTATCCGTTACTTTTTGGGGGATCTTTTACGGATCTATTTACCTAATCAAATAGTCTATTTTTATTGATTTGGGGTTTGTTTTATCCCACATTTTAGCTTTTTCCATGTATTCTTTAAAAAAAGTGTTTAAATTCTCTTTTTACCGTTTGTAAAGATGTTCCCGGTCGTGATATTTCGTCGATACTCTTCTTAACAGAGTCTTCTTTAAAGAATAATTCATATTCTTGAGGATGTTTTCTTTGTAAATGATTTTTTAAGGAAGTTGTGCCTTTACCTTTACGAGAAAACTTTCCATCACAAATTTTACACTTTGCACATTCATCATTTATTATCACAAAATAATTCCAAAATACACTACTAAACTTCTTTGTAAACATTTTTTTAAACTCATGTACCAATACCAAACACAAGCGTTATCTATGCTGCCCAGTGTCACATTAAACTAAAACAAAACAAAAAAAACCCGCCGCGCAATGCAAGTCGAAACATGTCTCAACTCAAGATCGCACGCACCGACACCGATTGTGTAAGAAAGTTAAGATCCGTATCCGTATATGCGGATCTTGACACCAAATATCTGCACTCAGATCCGTATCAGCGGATCTACATTTTTGACGATCCGGCACATCACTATTAAATACTAGCTGTGCCCCGCGGTGCTACCCGCGGTTTATTAAAAATATTTCCCCGCAGTAAAACGTAGCCTATGTGTTAATCCAGTGGGTCAACTAACGCCTATGTGTTAATCCAGAGTGTCAACTAACACGATGTTATGTGTACTGTTCGTATTTGAGGATTTCCGTTGTTTGTCTCAGAAAGAATTTATTAGATCACTACATCAATATGAGGCCAGGCACAGTCCGAAGGGGGTGTCACAGGGGACATGACCCCCCCCCCCCCCCAATCAAATTAAAAAATCTCAAAAATTCGGCAAATGACAATGAAAAATTAATAGTTTGTTGACATCTAGTGGTGTTTTTATGAACTCCGTACGATGACCAAAATAACTTGGAAATGACATGTATTATAGTTTAGAAACAAGGAACCGAACTACGTACTTTTGGTAATCCTACCTAAAAAATACCTTGAAAATCGTTATACAAACCTCGGAGATATGCGCAAACAACAATAAAAAAAATATAATGACTAATTGAGAACCTCCATCTTTTAGAAGTCTGATAATTTTTTTGATTATTATTTCAGAGAGCTGACTGCGGAAAAAGTACAAGGGAAGCATTGTCACCTTTTAAGTCGCGGAGTTCTTTCAGAATTATAAAATTAGCGTCACTGATTTTAAGTGTCCTCTCCCTTAATTGGTCTTATTCACAAAAATGGGGGTACTATCGCGGCCCGGCCTCCTTCCCGGCGGCAGTCCATTTAGATCATTGAAAATCTTTTGTCAATTCTTTGGAAGTCATGAGGGGCTTTCATTTTTCACTTATTCATACATTTTCTTGAGGGACACATCACGTTTTTGTAGCTAATGTTCCATCCATTAATGAACTTGTGCCCGAAAAATATTACTTTCACTTTGAAGGTCATAATCGTAATCTTAGGTAGACTGGGAGCACAGAAATAGAAATAAGTTGAGAAAAAAATGTTTTTGCGAAGTTTTT